ATAGGTTAATTGACTTATCTATTAATCTCATTTTTGTCAAATAAGTAGAATAATTTACTAGTGAAAATGAAACTTAATTAAATATACTTTGCATATTTATCGAATTTATATCTAAAAATATGTACATGTTACACTGATTTTCCTGGATTGCTTGTTTATTTGTGAAGTATATATTTGCTACACATATGTTAATTTGTAATTTTACATGATCGTCATAAGTCTCCCATAGACATTTTTTTTTATTTGTTAATGTTCGTCGTTCTCCATTTACTTTACAAAAAGGAAGCACGTATTAACTTAATGTGCCGCCATTCAGTCACTCTGTTAGTGTTATAAAATTATTTTATGTTGTTTACTTGGTGTAAACATAAGACGGGAATAAAAGTTTGATTGTTTATAATGAATGCGGTAAGACGGTTCGTATTTCTACTAATTCGTATTATAAGACTTAAATCAATTTGGGCATGCATTAAACAAATAAATCAAACATGAAAAAGACACAATGCAATCAACGTGACATCCAATTACTAAGATGATTTGATAAAACTGATATCAAAAAATTTTCAAATTTTATATTTTGGTAATGAATATTGAATATAACTGATTGAGAAATGAAGTTAGAGTACGGATATGGAGGGAGGTGCTAAATCAGTTTTAACCAACCTATTTCCCCGCAGATAAATTGGCATCGATTGCATTTTTTTTTCATTCGTCTGAATTTTTGACGTTACTTAATACGGACTTGCAATAGATCTTGGTATGTGTGTATTACCTCGTATAGGAAATGTTTTACATTTCATTTATTTTTAGATATGGTCCTTTTAAAGTCTAATAATACGTCAGAAAAGCAATAATGTTTATTTTTCAAAAGCTTTGAATCTTTGTTGATCTATAATTATAGTTTTCTAACAATATATCGCATCGGTCGTCAGACTGAGCAATCTTTTGTTTCTTCTGTGTTTTGTCAATTAGTACAGTCACAGTGAATTAGTATTTCGTAAGGATGTTAAAAGGATGCTTCGTTTATATATAATTGCTATTTTTGTTACAAACAAATTCACATTCAACACTATTTACTTCAGGTGATATACATCTCTCATGATCTTAATCACTTATTACAACTATTTGCACTTTTTACATAAAGAAAGAATTCTGAGGCGGAATCTGCTTTAAATAGTCTAATTTCTTAACAATTCTTTTACGGGATCGAATACCGGACTGCTTTGTGAGTTTTTAATAAAGTAATACATTAGTGTATAACATGTTGGTCGTGCTTATCATTGCTTTTTTTATTAACAGTTGTTTATACAAAAAATATACAACAATAGTTGTAATACAAGAACATACTCATACTAATAAAAGGAGTTCATCACCGCGCAATCAGATTCTTTGTAAGCACTGACAAATACACTCTTGATGCAGCCAGAAACGATGAAATTGGCTTGAGTCCCATCTTTGTAGAGGAATGGAATTAAGTATGAAGCCATTGTCAAAGAAGTTTGAGTTACAGTGTACCTCAAATAACCTGTACTTAAAAGAATAGTAGGTAATAATTCATATAAAACTGTCCAATGATTGATTAAAATAAATCATCACTTATGTTAGTTTCTTTCCAATTTTGTACAAACAAATATATATATATGATAAATGAAAAAGTTTTGTTTTTTCGACCAAAATATTTCGATACATGTATCTAACAACCTTTAAGTAAAATCTCGTTTGTTTTCTCTTAAGGATTAGACATTTGCTTAGCTAAATTTACTCACGAGGATAAGTTAATAAAGAAAGAGTCTCTGTCACTTAGTCAAGCGTGCTTATAACTTACAAGAAGCAAATATGTTCCACAAATAACCTTATCTCACATGTGTCGCTGTTACGGAAAAATTAATAAGATAAAGCTTCATAATGATAAACTTAACAAAAAACATATTCAATTTCATTTGTTAACTTTAATTCAAGTAAGTTTTAAAAGTTCACCTAAGAACTTTATATTTTACGTGCATTAGAATTTCAAAAATGTTGTAGAGACCGTGCAAAACGATTTAACCGATTAAACGTTTACAGGAAAAGGCAACACATGAAATTGGTCCAAAATGATATCTTAAACCTATGCATCATTTTGTTAAAGTCTTTAAAATAAGTAAACGAATGATAGTCTAAATAAAGATCCACACAACACCTAGTAGGCGATAAATATTTTTAAAAATAGTTTAAATACAAGTTAATGCAGTTTGTTTACTTACGGGAAGACTAGGAAAAATGGTTTGCTTCAGCATTGTAAGAAAAGAAAATTCTTTCATTTTGTTTTGAATTGCTTAACAAATATGTGCAACAAACCACTCAAAATGTGCTCTGTTTCACCATACCAAGATCAATGTTCTACTTTATCCTCACAAGGGTTAATATTCTATTACTATAACATATTTAGAGCCTCTTGATCTCTGATATGTGTTGGTAAAGAGAAGAATAAATACTTTGTTTAGAATCATTATCGCATATTCAGTGCACTAATAATCTAATCTAGCATGTTGTATAATTGGGTTGTTCGTTCTCATACTCTTTAATAAAGTCTGGGTTTCTTTCAGTTTTCTTGATGATGATAATTTTCAAGCATTATTTCCATCTGAAATACTTTATAGGCCTTATAATTGACATGAAATCAAGCTTTTTGTGTCCAATATTGGAAAATTAAAGAAAACTTCGTGAGAAGTGACGTGATTTAGAAAGCCTAATTTTATTCGAAAAAGACGGAAAGAACTAATTAGACTATCATATTAAGATAGTTTACAAAATATACATTTGTCACAGTTTACTATTTATATTATATGTCAAGGGAAAGAAAATCGCTGCTAAATTATGTTGCGCAATCTATGACATTTAGTTAAAATCTTGATACATTTATCTCTTATGTAATGCTGTTCATCAATGGTTTGATGATAGATCTCATACATTATTTCTGAAATATGTTCTAGATATACAAAGTATTGTCATTTCTGTTGCCTTTCACACACATCATAGACAGTCAGTTCCTGAATGGAATTATCTTTGGTGGGCATTCAAACTTACAGTAATTGTTTGTAGCTAATAAACAAGGCAACCTGATGTGTTTAATTAGTGGTTATTTTAATGTTTGGATTGAATATGCCCGAAGAAATGATAAAACATGACAAAACACCAAAGAAATGTTCCGCTAATTGCAAATTCTATTATTGTTGGTCTGACAAGAAGGAATGATACAACATGACATTATTTCAAAGAAATCTTTTCCTTTTTGTAAATTCTATTATTGTTATTTTGGCATGGTGAATGCTTCTGAGATAATGATTGTTGGCCGATATCGTTGTAGAAATCTTACATTGTAAATATACAAATGTCTGTATCATGATGTTCATTTTTATGGTATTGTAGTCTATGTATTTATTATTACTATTATACTATTATATTATTTATATCTACATTTTAGATACGTTAATACGTTTGCTTGAATGTCATTTCATGTTGATATGTGCTACCATGATTGTTTTGTTAACTTCACAATGAAATAATCAAAAATAAAATTCACTGTTTTGTTATCAAATATGACATTAACACGTCTAACAGTAAATCTGTTTTTAAAATATGATGAAAAAATGTTATGGACCGAGGAATCTTGTAATCTTCATTCTAGCACTTCTCATTTCATAGGAATTCGCTATGGAATGATATATTAATAAAGAGTTATTTATCTTATCGGTATGTATAAAGATAAATAAAATATTCCCAAAAGAAATAGAGGATATTCAAGTCTTTTTTCTATATAATCAATATAGATTTTTTAAAATTTCTTGAGTGTAAATTTTAATAATATAATTCATTGGCTATGAAATTATGAAATGCTACATAATAATGCAACAAGATTAATAGATATACATATATTATGAAAGAAATGTATACGCGGAATTTTGTCCATATAAAAATGTTTCGCATTTGATGCAGAAGCAGTAGAAAAATTATTGTTTTGAATTGCATTTTATTACCTAATATTTCAATGGACGGCGATACATATACAGACTAGCCGTGTTGAGTTCGGAGGTCATGGTCTTATTAAATACAAACAACAACTTATTATTTTGACTTTTGAAAAGGAGATCAATTTGTTTAAGATTTAACGATAGTATGGAAAGCTTGAAACTGTTCTGCATAATGTATTTATATTCATTACCTCGACATATACATGGTCTATATGAATAGTAACAGTTAAAATGTGATCTAAATCTGTTAAAACTTGGGCCATATTCTTGATTGGGTTAGTATGTTTGTCTTGTTTTTCTTTGATGATTTTATATAATCATATAGCACAAATATGAATCATGTGTTCCATGTTTTTTGTATTTAAGAACTTTGACCTTTACTTCCAGAAGACTTTGAATTTAGAACTTTGACAATAAACCGTGCTTTTCTAATCTTGAAAGTTTTCTACTGCTTATAAGATGAAAGGGTATTGGTGTTGATTATATCTTTAATGTATAAACACAAATATACCTAATACAAATAGATGCATTTTATTCCATTTTATTGAGTTACGGTCTGGGTGTAATAGGGTGGATAACACTCGGAACACCTCGCTGATTAGCGATCTAATTCTACCACGTGACCTTTGATTTTAAAACAAAGGGTGTGATTTGTTTGTAATTTGTAACAAATGTATTAATTTGACATCCATTGGAAAAATTTAAGACAGAAAATTGTTTGATTGTATTGACATGTGTTACAATAACATATATGTTCTACATTTATTATTAATAATAAGTTAATACTATACTTATTAACGTTACTAATATACATATACTAATAAATTAATTAATGATAATAATGATGATAATAATGATGATAATAATAATAATAATAAGTCTGCATCTGACACTATGGGCCTATATATAGCTATAAGCAAACTTTATTCAACTGTAAGCAACGCAAATTTAAGGCGTTCTACGGGATATGAAAAATACGCAGACACATAGTATTACGAATTCGTAATATTTCTTTATTATCATTTGAAATCAATGTTCATTATCACTATTTCTTTACTGACATTATCATTTGTTAGTCCTTAATACAAAGTGTCGCGAGAACCGTTTTACGCAGGACATTCTGAAATGAAAACAAAAAAGGTTTTAATACAAATAAAATAAACAAACAAGAATACTTCATACTTTCTGCATAAAATAATTATATGTATGACACCGAAAACTCAAGAAACAAACAATCACAGTGATATGCTTCCTAACCATGTTATTGTTAAAGCTAGTCAAAAGTAATGCTTAGAGAAATTAAGATACATAAGTTGGTCTAGTACTAGATGGTTGGGTATGAATAAGAATAAATAGGAGTAAGAGGATATAAAGGGTAGGTTTTGTCTTAAATTCATTGAACGAATCGATTACAATTATATTTAGCGACTTTCTAGCGAGCATGACAATATTTACCCTCGTGGATAATATAATCATTAGATTTAATAATAAACTATGAGAATGTTTAATATTTTACAGTCGCACAGTGAACAACTATACTTCTACTGTAAAATAACCTTAGCGTGCATGACTTGACGTTATATATTTGGATAACGCAAATAACGTCACGTCAAGATATATGCACACCAGTGCAATATCGTTCTTACGGAGTCACAAACACACTTTTGTGATAAAGGCGTTTATGGCAACCTTCAAAAGTAAAATGAACTTACCAGTGCCAAACCATTTGAACTCCACCCTTGGATCAGCGAAGGTGAGGTTGAAGTTGATCAGCAGATCTGCCGATATGAGTTCCCAAGGCAACCCATTAAGGTTCATTACAGAATTCTCATCTCCTGAAATGATAATTTATATTAACTTATGCATATTCTAATCAAGAAATAAAAAAGGAAATGTCAAGTATCTGTTTAACATTTTGATTTAAAGTTTAGACTTACATTTCTGTTTCTATTTGATTTACTCAACTGTTTTATCATTTTTATAAAATTTGCCAAAATAAAGCAAAACTTTTCTCAATTTATGACTATAACTAATTTACACAATACTTTATTTGTGCCATGTCAGTGTCTTTCAAATCAAAACAGTTTATAATATACAAGTATCAGTGTGCAGACAAAGTGTTCACTATGCAACAAATGTTTTTAAAACTGCACCACTGAATGTAAGACGTACATAAAGGCAATTATTATGGAATCCAATCTTAACAATTTTGCCTCGCTTAAATTTTCCCAGCCCAAAATCTATATCAAGTCATGATTATACACTGACTGGCCTCGTTTCATTTTTATATCTAAAGAAATCCATATCAAATTCAAATTGTACTCGCAGCAGCAAAGTGTCAAAATGTCATAGACTTAATGTGTGGAATAAAGACAGCAATATACATTGTAAATGCAAAATTGTTAATTTTGTCTCGTATACTGCTGCAAAACCTATCTAAGAATCGGCTAGTTTTTCGTTCAATGCAGGTTGAACATCTTTTTACTCGTCAAAAACAATAAATATTGTACTCAGCAGTTTATCAACAACCTCAAAAGATATATCAAATGTAAACAATGAACCAATTCGGACCAATTGGAAACTATTGGATACGGTATCATCAATTCAGTTTCGTTTTTTTAGTTTTGAAGTACAAGAATTCATATCAAATCGTATTGTACTCCAGGTAGTAGCCCCTCTTTAAAGTCCGAAATTTTTTTAAAAATTCATCCGATTTATATTTAACTCGAATTAGCACAGGTCTGTCAAAATGTCAAAATATGGTAGTTTGTGATAAAGAAGCCAAGCAACTTAGCATACAAGAATATCGTATAAAAGACTAGGCTTGTGCATCGTTCAATATAGGTTTCAAAGGCACAAACTCATTTAATATTATTTAGAATTGTACTAGAAAATATTGGCCACCTTATATAACCATTTGTTAAAAGTGGCAAATTTCTGTTCCCGTAGCTAAACATATCCAATTAGTACAAAAAACCGGTAGGGTCATTTCAACTTTATGTATTTTAATAATTTTAACTTTCTTAATTCCCGTTTTCAACATACGGATTTCATGAATTCACGATTTTAACTTCATGAATTCCCAATTTCAACTTCACAAATTCACGAGTTCAGCTTCACAAATTCACTATTTCAACTTCACGAATTCAGGATTTCAACTTCATGAATTGATGATTTCAACTTCACGAATTCATATTCGTGAATTCAAGATTTCAACTTTACGAATTCACAATTTCAGCTTCATGAATTCAAAATTTCAACTTATTTCAACTTCACGAATTCAACTTCATGAATTCAACTTCGTAAATTCACGATTTCAACTTCACTTCATGAAGTTGCTATCGTGAATTCATGAAGCTGAAATCGTACAATCATAAAGTTGAATTCGTGAAGTTGAAATCATGAATTCATGAACTGATTAGTGAATTCGTGAATTCCGTATTTTGAAAACGGGAATGCACGAAGTTTAAATTGTGAATTCATGAAGATGAAATCGGTAATTCATGAATTGAAATGGCCCTACCGGTCTTTCGTAGCTCTTTCGTAAATATGCGTTTGCTTCGCTAGCACTTGCATGACTTAAGGAAAATGCGAAAGCAGACCGAATATTTCGTTGCTATTGTTTGAATATCTATTTAAATGGTAAAGATTAAAATTATACACACCTGAAAATCGCTTCTCACTAACGTTTAGGTCCAAATAACCCAAAGTACAATTGTCATCCGCATCAAATACATAGCAGACAAAGAACCAGAAATATGTTTCGAGATCCTGACTATAGAACTTCAGTTCAGTTTTGGAATTCTTTACTGCATGAAAGAAATATGTCATATAATTGTGTCAAATATGGACTAATTTTAGTATAATATGTTTTTAAGTAATACTATAGATTTAAGTTCGTTTAATTTATGAAATATTACACGTTGCTTATTTCCAAATAAGTAACAAATGAATATGAAATCACAAAACAATGTGAAGGTAAAGTGTGAAAATATTCAATTTTATTAGTCTAGTATAAAGTCACCGAGGAGAACAAAAAATAATCTGCATAAAACTTAAGGGTAAAGCTTTTTAATATTCATGACTTGCAAATTAGCCGACTTGTCCCGCAAATCTGAGTCTTTTACTGAGAATTTCAAGAAAATCCGTACACATTGCACACATGTACGAAAACAACAAGATTGAAATTTAATTTAATTTAATGAATTAATTCATAATACTTATTAATTTATGTGTTTAATTTGTTTTATTTATCCCTTTATATATGTTGCTAGAAAAATCATACACAATTTGATACGGTTACCCTTTCTTTTTGCTTTCCAATATATATCGGTTTAACCAAAACTTTTGGATAAATAAGTAAGTATATTTCAACACAATAAAATCTTACGTCCTCGTTCAGTTGCACGGCCACAATTATCTTCTGTTATTCTCATTTCGGCATCAAATCTTTGGCATTGGTTGGTATTTATATTGCTGCAGCACATGAATTAATACTTGTACAATGTACATTGGACTGATGCATTTACATTATTTTAATCATTAATAATTTGTACCTTTAAGTTATTTTATTCATATTTCACCATGTTTATCCAGTAACGGTCAAAGTGCAAATAACTTAGGAATTGTGAAATAATAACACGGACTTGTGCAATGTAAAGCTTTGCCCAGGCCGAAACGGGCACGATCGTAAATGAATAAAACATTTAATCTAAATCTAAATTTATAGAAAATAAAATTAAAGGCAATGAACATTGCTGAGACGTTATATTTTAACCGTTATCAAATTGAAAACAATTTCCAGAAAATCGTTTATTTTTCTAGATTATTTATGAGAAGGAAGGCCTGACTAGCGTATTGAATTCGGCTTTTGTGTTTTGCGATATGTAATAATACTATTGCAATTACCTATACCTAACATTTTTTCGTTTGACATTCGGTATACCTAAGACATTTGCCAAACTACTAGTGAAACATTATACTAAAGTAAAAAGATAAAATATGACGGAGACAAGATTTACGAGGTAATACCGACTTGTTGAATTATGTTCCAATTAAAAAATGTATATGAAATTATCTACGAGTTCGGGCAAGGTTTACCGAATATCAAATATAATAAGTTTTATAGGCGTTATAGATTTAAATGATATTGAAGAGACAAAAGTCGCCTTAAAATCGGTAGTCAAGTTGTCATTCTTTCGTATGATCTTAAAATATAAACATACTCGTGTAAAATTTTGTAATGCGTTGATTTTAACAAATTTTAGGTAATATAGCGACGGCCGATCCACCAAGCATCTTTCCTTGATTATTACCTAGCTATTACCAATTTCTTTGAATGTGACCGACGATTTATCTAACATGTTTGAATCAGCAGTGACAGACAAAGGAGAATCAGATTCGATTGACTCAAATAGATATATAAATACACTATTATAGTTTGTTTCAATGTAATAAAGTCAACAAATGTGTTCAACAAATAAGTTCACTGTGCTATCTTAACCAACTATGTTTGCTATATATATATGCCCCATGTTTTGCATGATTACAAGGCTTTTATTAACCCCCGTCAAAAAATTAAACACAAAAAAGACACATACACACAAACAATATAATTTCGGAATGCATTTACAGGTTCTGCTTTACAACTCTTATTAATACTTGTACCATTGTAGTGACACATTTATTATAGAAGATTTTTAGTTCTACAAGTTACAGCAATAAATTATGCTAATTGATAATATAATAATGTCCCTTTTTGCTTTGATAGTCTGAAAATAAGTTACACTATATCCCGGCTGATAATACAATGTTGAGAATATCAAAAAGAAAAAGATGAAAACGTAATTCTTAAAGAACGCCTAAATATAGCAAACTTAATAAATGTTATTGAACCTGTTCATGGTCGGTACTTGAAAGTACAAAAAATGTCCACCCCCACCCTCCTCACCGTCATATTAAGTAGAATGCAACATTTCATTTAAACACGATATTGGTGACCATTCTGAATTTGCAGATTTGGTAATCATGGAACAGTCAATGCGACACATCCAAATAGAGAAATAAAAACGAAAATGAAAAGCTGCGAATGTGCAAATGTTACTTACTTAAATTGTCAAGCACACAGTATTTTGAAAAAAGATAAATCTTAATAGATGTTTAAACAAAAACAAAAGACGTAACTGTTCCGAAATGTTTTAATAGTTGAGATTATATTGTCATTTTATATACTTAAACTAACGATAGGATGTTGAGACAATAACGGTCTGCTAATTGCTTTAATTTCAGGTTCGTTTAAATTCAATCAAGAAAGAAAGAAAAATCATATGTTCATCATGTTCAAATTTGTCTGACATTTATTAATAATTTTACTTACAAGCAATTTGTTTTCCGTTGAAATTTGTCGTTATTGTCTGGTGGATTCCATCTCTGTTGGCATTTACCATATGTATGTGGAGAGTTTAGCTCATAACCGTAAATAACAAACCAGGTATGTTCTGAGTTTGAAATCTTGAAAAATAATATAACGATAACAGAAACAGCAATTGTCGAAAATATATTCGTATAAAATTTAATTTTGTAGATTGTTATAGATAACATAAGATAAAAGTAGGAATAAATATAGCTCCTTTTTGGGTGGAAGAAATAGAAGATAAATAAAAAATTAAAACAAAAATATTAAAGAATGACAGTTAAAAGTAAGTTGCCCCCTTAATTTGCATACGATCAAAAGTCAAACATACTTTTGAAAGCCAATCGGCTTTTGATACCATGTCTGAGTGCGCTTTAAACCGGCTACAGTAAGTAGGTTGTTGACATTCATCATTTTGCTCATTTTGAGAGCACAAGCTGACAGTGCAAGTAAAAAAGAAAACATATATCCGTAGTAGTCTGTTCATCATCTGGAAAAAAACAACCTTTTTATAAGCATTTAATCTAGCTCAAGATTTGAATTGTTTACCGATGTTGTTGCTTTTTTATTTACTTTGTTTGATGGTGTGTAGTTCTTGTAATTTATTCCTGTAATATTTCTTACTGTTTGGGTTCTTTATGGATTCTGATTTTCTCTATTGTATGTTGCACTAACACAGTAAAGGTCATATGGCGACTTTTCAGATTTTCTGTTTGCGAAGATCTTGCTAAAGTTGTCCCTCCATGCATTGTTTCAGGCATGGTCGGGCACAGGAATAGATCATTCGACGTCGCTAAACCGGTTTGATAGCTTCCTCATATAAAATCTATACTTCCTGACAAATTAGTGAGAGGCGAGTGGTTGGAAGTCGGCGACCTTAGCAACTGGACAACTGACGCCCCTGTGTATATGTTTATGTAAAATAATCATCCCAAACTATGAAATCAGGATAGGATTTCGTTATGACTTTGTACGACCGTCATTTCCCCATCTGAAATTCGTTCCGCGCTATTTCTCGTCAACTCCTGATTTGATTTTCACTGAAACGTCCTGTAAACATTTAATACCGAAAGGAGATGAAAACTCATATGAATAGTTCGGTCGGACCATTCAACTAAGAGTAACGGCCCCTGACAAGTTATTCAGTATGTATAAAGAGTAAGGCCATTGCTTATTGGAGTTCAACAATCTATTATGATAATTGTAATAGAGAAAAACAAAATCCCTAAAGAAAGCCCAACACGGCAAAATTGTAACATGTTGCAGGCTCGGTTTGATTGACTCTGTTCATTGGCGGTACTGGAAAGTGCAAGTTACTGTCCACGCCCCTAGCACCGGCGTAAGCAGAATTCAAAATTTAAACACAAAAATGGTGAATTTTGAATTAAGAAGCATCCGCAGATGTGTTCATACGGCGCTTAACATGGAACCTTCAAGGTGACACAGTAGTGTAATTCCATGAAAAGTGGCGTATGGTCTCCAAGTAAAATAATGTGTGTGCCCTAAACGGGAAAACAATGGGCGGAAATAAATAAAATAAAAAATTAAAAGGGGATCTGAGGTTATGAAGCCTGCATATCACAGACAATATGCCAAAACACAAAATTAAAAGCATGCAACATGTTCTAAGGGTGGTTATACAGTATTCAAGGGGAAATACTGGAACCACCCAAGTTGAAAAAGCCAAATACATGTAAACCATCAATACCAAAAGCAGATACACATATCTTCTTAAAATTGATGCGTTTATTTACCTTGTGTTATCTTTCAATCAAGATAAAGTAATAAAGGAACACATGTTGAAGTACAGAAAAAAATGTTTTATAGCGTTATATCATCAAGTGTTAAGTGAACTGTGATAAAGTAACAAATGTCAAAGACAAACGACAGCAAATCATACATTTTTATCCAGACAATCTGTTTCTACATTCATTTCCATAGAGTTTTGTGAGCAAAATCTGCCTCCGCATTTACTTAAATCAATAACGTCTAATGAATACTGTCTGTTTCATAGAGCCCCTACGATGACATTTTCGACACTTTTTTCCAGGCATTAAATTCGTTTTTACGAAATATTAATTCGTTTTAACGAAATATAAATTCGGTAATACGAAATAGTAATTCGTTTTTCCGAAAAATTAATTCGTTTTTACGAAATATTATTTTGTAATTACGAAATATATTTTCGTAATTACGAAATATTAATTCATGAAAACGAAATGTTATTTCGTAATTACGAACTATTAATTCGTGAAAACGAAATGATATTTCGCAATTACGAAATAATAATTCGTATTTACGAAATGTTAGTTCGTTTTTACGAAATAATAATTTTTTTTAAATATTAATTTGTAATAACGAAATATTTATTCGTTTTTTACGAAATCTTATTTAAGGTCATTGTGAGTTCGACAAGAAAACCTACTAATCTCTCAAAGGGGTACTTTACAAGCCTGTATTAACATTGCGATTATTAGCCGAATGGTTCTCAAGTTATTATATTTAGGTGGACATGGTTTTTGAGTGAGAAGTCATTCTCAATCCAAAATATCCTCTTTTTCCCCATTGTCAAATACATGTTCCCATCATCAATGTTTTATATTTTGAGGCTATTTATCTTTTCTGACATGTTTCTTTAAAAAAGAAACATGCTATATAATTACATTCTTTTATCATATTCATTAGTAAAACTATAGGGAGGGATCCGGATTTTTACTAATCTAATCAATTTAAAAAAGTTTATTTTCTTACATTTTATGTATGGGCATCGTGCGATCATAAAAAAAAAACATAATATTTTATTTCAAAACTCAATAATATCGACAAAACGAGAGAGAAAAAATGTCCGTGTTTGGATTTGAAACACAGGACCCCCATTTTAACAAAATTTTCCTAGCGCGTGTACTATCACGGCTGTGGCGGCAACGCTATTGACAGGCGAATATTTTAATTAATATACAATAGTGATAAGTTATAAAACTTGGGTAGAAAAACAAAACACTATTTAAATTGCATTTACATGCCTTATATTTAGTCAGGAATTTAGTTTCAATTCCTCCTTTACAAATATTACCAAAACTTTTTAAAACCCTAGAAAATATAAATTCGTAAAAACGAAATGTTATTTCGTAATTACGAAAAAAATATTCGTAAAAACGAATTAATATTTCGTAATAACGAATTAATATTTCGTAAAAACGAATTATTATTTAATATTTCGCAATTATGAATTAATTTTTCGTAAATACAAATTTTTAAAAGAGTGTGGAAAATGTCACCTAAGGGGCTCCTTGATTAATTGCTATTATAAAGCAATTACTTATTAAGAAAAAAGTATATTGCTTGCATGTAGTTCGAACAACAAGGACAACAAAAAAGCAAAATCGAATTCATAACACATAATGCAACCTTAAACCTAAATACCATACATAATATATTTGAAGTTATAGGTGTATAGAAAAAGTTTAAACATTATCTTACACAAAACCTAGAATAAAATGAACCAAAATGCCTATGTTCTTTTTATATTTAAATATAGCTTATTTATAAACACTTTGACTTGAAACAAAAAATGCACAATTTCTTTTCAGTTCTATACATATAAGTTATGTTCAAAGACTGCAAAACATAATTTATAACGTTTGTGAATAAGCCAAAGCCTGTAATTCTATAACAAAAGTATTCTTTATGATTCATCATTCAATATATGTTTAACTGACGAAGAAAAAGACAATCAAAAATATTACACTGACCCTAACCAAACGAATAAACGAACCCACAAACAGTGTAACTTCTCTCTTGTTTTAAACCAAAAAGCTTATTCAGTATCCTATATATCATTTTAAAAAATACAAGTATCGGAACAGGTTTCATAACATTGCTCTACAAAACGAGTAGAAATAATAATAATAATAATAATAATAATTAAAACAAAACCACTTACCATTCTCCTTTAGCAAAGCAAAATATTCTTTGAGTTTGAGAAAAACTGTTTGGAGAGACAAGGAAAATCTGTATTTATATCAAAAGCTGGCAGATTTATTGAATTTAAAAAAAAAGTGTGGAAAGGTTGTTGAATCATTTTCTAAATATACACGACTTTAATTAAAGCAGATCATCTAAAAAGCAACAAGAAAAGGGTTGTCCCAACGTAATGTATGTGACATCACACGTCCAGGTGAACTGCTATATACATTACGTACGTTTAGTTTGTACATCTCCTTTTTTGTCCAGTGATTCAGCGGTTGGAGGTCACCCCGGCATTGCATGTTTGTTTTTGTTTGTTTATTTTGGGTTATACGTCACATCGACACAGTATAGGTCATATCGCGACGTTTCAGCTTTACTGGTGGAGGAAGACCTAAGGTGCCCTTCCATGCATTATTTCAGGCACGAACGGGCACCTGAGTAGAACCACCGACGTTCCGTAAGCCAGCTGGATAGCTTCTGCACATGAAAGAATCCAAAGTCTCTATCGGGATTCGAACTCACCGCTACCTACCTACTCTACCCTACCCTACCCTACACCCTACCCCCTAACCACTACCATCTACCCTACAAGGTACAGGTGTCTTTGAAACGACCCTCGTTTATTACGGCACAATGCACGCGATGTGACTCATACACTTCGTGAAAAATCTCATTATTATCTGTCCCGTACCAATGTCGACATATACCAGGTGATACAAAAATGTTAATTTAGCGAACATGAAATGCGACATTATTACGTGTTTTAATCAGAAGAAAAAAATCTTAATCAAACATCAACAGTCCTTTTAATTAAGCTTTACATAAATGTCTACATATCTACATATACACAAAAGAAAAGGAAACAAGAAAAGGAAAAACAGCAACACGTTTTGTTTTGTTAGGTTATGTTTAATCATAAAATGTTTCCAGTTCAATGAAACATGACAATGCAAGATATGCATGACGTAATATTTGATCGACATTTTGTTCATGTTTAAGACATATTAAAGACATTTATATAAACAATATTACACATTTTTCTCAACCTTAGATAAATTAACGTCTGAATGTAAAATAGATTTGGATCTGACATTCTAGACAGACAACTGTTTTTGTGGTATATTTTATTGTGTAATCCCTATGTAAACACAACTGTAATTTTTTATATTCAAATTTAAACCACTTTCATGTTTGAGTGTTCAGTTCTGCTTATACCAATGTATAAGGATTTTGATTTTAGCTTGCACTTACTTCTATCGCCTTTGAACCGACCAAATTATTTTCATGTTGCCGTTTTGACCAATCTGTAAGATTTCCTGCTTTGATCATCGAATATTAACTGCATTTTTAGGAACCAGAAAACTGTTTTAAGACCTTCGTAAATATTCAATATTCAGCGTGAAGCGTCAATAGGGTTCAAACAATACTTGTCTGACTGTAGCTGGATTGAAGTTCATAGTCAACCGAAGCCTGAAAGCTATGAATGTAGATTACAGGCAATGTAGTGAACAATAGATAACTTTTCAAAACATACAAAGACATTGGGATAATACCGTTTCTTTAATTATTTATCACATCTATATATTATGAATCACATTGTTTTCATATGTTCAAATGTTTGCTTTGACGTATCGTAATTGATGCTTTTTTCTGTCTGTCAAATAAAGTCTTATTTTTAATTAGTAAATTTCTTGATCAATATTTTTTTAGGCAATCTATAAACGCTTTGATCATTTTTCAGCATTGATATCTATCACACATTTCTCTGACACCATTTATGCAACATGGCATCATGATAAAAGTTTTAGACAGTATCGATTGAGTGTATTGTGTTTCAAGATATTTTATCTCACACAAGCCCAATTCATTTACAAAGAACATATAATGACAGAAATCAATTATAAAAAGCCAACAACATCTGTAATAAATCTCAAGATAATTTAATAAAGGTTTTCATATGAAACTCCTTTCTGAAATAACTTTCATATTAATGCAAACTTTTATCTTATAGTGTAAATGCAGTATAAAAGCACCAGAAGAAACTTGATACTTAGGTAACATTCAAGGGTCCTAAGGATTAAAACCATTGAAATATTATTAAACGCACGTTTCAAAATGAGAACAAAGACCAACAATTCAAGGCAACGTTTACAGAACTCATCCCCGACACAACCCACACACAGAAGTGGCAGAATACACAAAAATGCTTAATAACTGTGAAATAAATATCGTTTACAATGGACCACCAAAAATTTATACCAATGGCAAAGTTTTTTGTGTTAGCTATGGAACTACGAAGTAAAATTCTTGTATAACATGATAGCATTGCTTCTTGAATAAAATACCAACCTTTAGACACTTAGTTTGTTCCATCCTAAGCGATCCTTGGTGCTCAACCTCGGCGTTTGTTTTTCATATCCGCTAATAACTGGATGGTAATTTTATGTCTCTTAAGTTATAATTACAATTCCTAATTACAGGTTATGCCCTTAAATGTTTAATTTCGGAGCACAAAGTGCTGATAATTTCTACCTCTATGCCATTTCCAGAGAGTATTACCCACATTATGAATTTTGAGCTAAAAGTTAGTCACTACACGCTTGAAGATGAGAACTTAAATGTAGGGTAACCTGAGACAATATTAATAGGAGGTAAACCTGAAAAGGGATGTTTTGCCAGCAAATGTGACCTTACGACAGAAAGTTTACTTTTATATGCTTTTGCCTAACAACGCCATCTTACAATCAATTTGATTTCCTGTAAAATGTATAGGAAAGAACTGATTATATGTCGAATTGTCATTGGTAATTTCAAAATTACCACATCGTTGAATCTCATTGGCCACAACAATAAAAAAAGATTTTTCCTAGAATCATTATAGATATATGCTATTACAAAACGCAAAGAACCGTCATTCTGGAACAAAAGCATATGCAACAATTAGTCTGACGTTATATACCTATAACTTTTTCTACCATTAACGTTCTTTAAGGTGATATCTTTAAATGTTAATGACTAAAAACTTGTTATAAAAAGTTATATTTTAATTAAAAAGAAGAACAATTATGTAACAAAAAAGTTTATATGTTCAAAAATTGTTTCTTTTATCTCATTAGAAAAAATACGAAACTTTAGGATTACCGCAATAAATCATGTCATTCCAAAGTAAACCAGGCGTCATTTCAATGTCAATTAAACAGCCGAAGGCAGACAAAACAAGAATTATGGGCACCAGCTTCTATTTCAAAACACATAAATCAAATAAAAAGCTGATTGTTTTTGTCCACGATATCAGTTATTATTATTTTCATCAGAAATATAACCATATTCATTAAAGTGTATAAAGGAAAACCACACGAAATGTAGGAATTGTTATTTTCACTACGTAGAAAGTAAGTAATTATATATAAGAAGGTTCGTTAAAGATCCTGTTGAAATTCTGTAAAAATGTGGTTTTTGTTTTGTTTGTTTTTTTACACAAATTTACAAAGTTTAGGTTATATGTTAGCAGTCGACCTAACTAAATGGCTCCAGGATAACTAACCAGTAATTAATTATTTCTCCGCAAGTGACAGTCTTTTGATCTTACATGATTTCTGAATGAGCGGTAATAAACAAATGATCATTAACCTGAATGTCCGGGAAAACATTGTCTAGGATTATTTCCTCTCTGACTCTGGATTACAAATCCGAACTGATATTGTTGGTTTTTTGTGTGTTTTTTTTTTCTCGCAGACCTTACATTATAAAATTTTATGATGACCTTTTACTATATAAACCTGTAAATTATTTATAGGAAATTTGTGGAAGGACGTTATGCTTTAGATCTTGGAGAAATAATTTGTAGAAGCAAAAAAATCATCTTTATACATACGAAAGAGTGCTAAGCATGAAACAATAATAATTATTTTTAACATTTGCACTTATTTTGCCTTTATGATATCATATGATATGGCATGATGTAATAGGATATGACATATAATTATATGCCAATGACACCAAAACAAAACTACATGTACATGTATATGGAAACCAGAACATTTTGACCTTATTAATGATATAACATAACACAACATTATAAAATATAAAATATTATACAATAAAATATTTCGGATTTGGTTGTAGTTGCATATCAGTGTTAAAGATGATACATGTTATCATGCAACATTAACCGATTAATTAATAGCTATTCCAAACATTAAATATCAGCTTTGCTAAGTTGTAAAGAGTTTTGAAATATATAACGCTATATTTCATTTCTTGATACACATGACATGTGAATTGTATCAGTAATGGTTCCTTTTTTTTTTTTCAAATGGGAAATCAAGATTTTATGTATTCAAATCAAGACATTTGTAAAACGGGAAACGAATACCGTGATATGTCTGCAAAACAATTCTACAAGAAAACAATTTCCTGTTTTGTTTCGTGTTATAACTCTCACGTGTATACACTTATATTAAGCTATCATAACAAAACAGTGAGAGTAAGCTTTTCTCAACTTCTGCACCCTGTGCTTTAATATTGTATATAATGAATAATAATAAAGATATTGATCATATTCAAAAACATTTTCACGTTCAATTAACTAATATTATCCGAACATCAACTTTATATTACACATGCCGATGAAATAAAGACTTCTCAAGAATAATGTGCTGGACTGTGAACTATCCAATAGATATGACATGTAATTGATAAAGTAATATATGTACATAGTTGGAACCAAAAAAAAAATGACAAGATCTCATGTTTTATGTTGTCCAGATTTTAAAAAATAGAAAAAACAGGCACAAGATATTCACTTCGAAAAAGAAGTGTTTTCTTGAATGATTGTTATGAAACAAACTTTAACTTCCCTGAAGACATTTCTTGTAATTTAATAAAGCGATAAATCTTAACATTAGGACATAAACAGACACTTGAATGTCGTCTGTTATTAGATTTAACTCTTAATCATTTGTTAAAATTTAAGATGATGGAATTTCTAGCGATAGACAGACGATCAATCTGTCATTTTCATATCTAAAATTATACCTTGCAGTCCAAAGTGTCAAGAACGGGATTAAGTATTGTAAAACACATTTCCTGTTGCGTGAAAGA